CTGGCATCAGCTGCAAATCTGACTTTTCATTTCAGAGGACAGGCCATCCTATACTTTTGTATCCTCTGGGATGGTAAGTGCCATACAGTATTGAAATTTCTTGCTTGAAGAAAGCACAAACTTTGCTAGCCTGGCACTGAAGCCTGGGGGATACACCATCTTTGAAATACCTGTGACCCTCACTCATGTAAAAGAGCCTTTACACAAAGTAACCAACAGACACAGGCCATAAAAGCAATCCACATGTATAGACAAAATTTGTTTAGTCAGGGTGCTGTGTTCAGGCTACTCCCTCATCTCTGGCTATAATACCACCACTATTATTGACTGCTTGGGTTAGTATGGCCAGAGTGTGTAACAGTTGGAAACAAACTCGAACTTGAGCATGTGCACACTCATTGTGGGTACTTGTTTACTGGTTAACATATTGCTGGCTGTGGGAGATGTCTCCAAGTGCACCACAAGATGTGCTCCCTCTAAGTCCTGCCGAGAGACCCACACTGCCTTGACCAGATCAGAGACATCTATCTCTGCAAAAGTGAAAATCTTGATCCAAAAGGAGTTTAAACCCAACAGGTTAGAGCAGCACAGAATATGCTTGCAAGACAGTTTAGGAAAACCTAAGTGATGGTTTTTAAGCCAAACCCCAAGTGATGTTGCTTGGAAAATCCTCGGCTGTAACAGAGTCGACACCTTGGACAAATTTTTCAGTGCTGTCCCGCTGCTGTAAGAGCACAAATCTCACCAAACGGGAAAGACTCCTCAGCGTATCTTGGGGAAAGCTGAGCTTGAGCAAATACAGCTCCCAATCTCCCAAAAAAAAGGTTTCTGAAAGTTGGGGTAAAACATCTGGATCAATCAGAGGGCTGAATCCAACCACTGTTCTAACACTCCTCTTACTCTTCTTCGCTTTTAAAGTTTTAAATATGGGGAATAGATCGAGGGGAGTGGGTCTGCCTGTTACCCAGTTCCCCGTCACGGCCGCCCGCTCCCGTTCCCTCTGCACAGTGACCCCTGCCGGCCTCCGCCCTCTCCCGCATCCCCGCGGCCGCGCCGGGGCCGGCTCCGCTCCCGGCCCGGGGCCGCTCTGCCCCGGCCCCACCAGCGCTCCGGCAGCCCCGGCACGGCCCGTCCGGCGGGGCAGAAACTTTCCGGGCGAGTTTCGCTCCCGCTCCGGGCGCGATGGGCCGGGGGCTGCGGCGGCCGAGCCCCGCGGGGCCGAGCGCGGGCGCTGCGCCCCTGAGGCCGCCGTGCACGCCCCTTGCGCCCCTCAGCCCGCCATGCGCGCCTCTCTGCGCTCCCTGCGCGCCCCTCAGCCCGCCATGCGCGCCTCTCTGCGCGCTCCTTGCGCCCCTCTGCCCGCCCCTTTCGTCCCTCAGCCTGCCCTGCGCGCTGCCCGCGGCGCTGCCTGGGGCGGGCGGCCGGGCCGGGCGGCAGCCGGCGGCGCGCAGGGCGGGGTGTGGCCTCGCCATTATTTATGAGCTCCAGCCCCTATTTGCTCAGCTAATGATGCACCGGCGGCCGCCTCGCCTCGCCTCGCCGGAGCGGCGGCCAGGGCAGGGCAGCGCCTGTAACTGGAAACCAGCGCCGGCACCGCGCGGCCGCTCCATTCACTCCTAGGTGCGTGCTTGCGCGCAGGGGAGAAGCGCTCCCTGAGCCTCAGGAGTCACTGCCAGGATTATTGCACAGAGGAGCCGGGAGTATCTTTACAACCACCACGAGGAGAGACTTTTCTTCTTTTTCCCTGTTTTTTCTCTTTTTTTTTTTTTTATTTTATTTATTTTACTCTCTGCCGTGAACCAGGTTTGGAATTAAAATGTTCTGGTAGCAGGAGTGGAGTCTATAAACTGATAGAAACCAGAGAGAAATCAGTATTACTGCTGCTTCCAATAGCCGGGTAAGCATAACTTAAAGTTCTCTTTCTTTTCTGTAATAGATGTGAAATGTCTCTGATGGTTGGAATTTGCTGCTGTTCACAGACAGTTAAACCAATGCTTTCCGAATTGGCACAGTCCGTGTTTGGCAGGGTTTTTTAGTCTTTTTTTTTTTCTCCTTAATTTATCTTCTTTGCTCTGCCAAATGATTTTCCTTACAGGATTTAGGGGTAGGACCAGGCTGTAGCAGATGACACCTGCGCAGCGCTTCCTAGCAAAGCGATACTTTCCAGAAGCCGTGCAGCATGCTGCCAGCGACCTCCGTGGCAGCGAAACTTCACTACTTCACTTTCGTAGCGGTTTCTCTGTTTGCGTACAGTTAACGCTAGAATGTAAGAACAGAAATGCAATTAGACACTGCTTTTTGTCTGTCCTGTTGGATTCTAAAGTACTTGCAAGGCTTTAGGTCTGTGTGTTGTCAGCAGAGATCATGTGCACTGGACGTGCTGAATATAGTATCATGACTTACTGAGATAAATTCAGAGCTGGGATATAAGCCCACAGCAAGAGTCAAACCTGCAATGAGCTGTCAGTTACCAGCTCTGTGAATCTCTGAAATTAAACCTATTTCCATTAGTTAACTCACATGTCAGGCACCCTGAGGTACCTTTTTGTCACTATATGCATTTAATATTTATGTGTCTAACAGCTAGGTAGGAACCATGCTGCTCAGCACTTGAATCTTATATTTGCCTGTCACTTCTGTGTTAACGGTGAAGATCTGCAATTTGAGCAATGAGATGTAGCAATGTTTCACTCCTCTAACTGATTACGCTAGAATTGGCAGGAGGCATGAGAGTGGGAGGGAAAGAGAGCTGAAAGGGGTTTTTTTCTATTATTGTTTCCTACAGTATAATTTAAAGGAAGAAGGAAAGCCACACACTTGTTCCTCTTTGACTTTTTATCTATATTGCAAAGAAAGCATAGTGTTACTACTGTAAAATACTTATCCCATTGCATTTGTTAAACCACATGTTCTATATGATTGGCTATTTATTTTGGCATGACAAAGAAATTTTATTGGGATTTAATGCCATTTCTCTCTTAGAAGAGGAGTAAGTTAAAGGATATTCCATGGGCAAGTCACAAGGCTTTAAATTTAAAGCCCACAGAGCAACATTAGTACTAGAGTTCGTGCAGCCTGTTTAAAAATTATTCTTGGCAAAAGCTCTGCAACTATCATTTTATTAGTTAACAGACCCTTAGAGATGATTTGGAACTGGGCCAGAATGGATATGTTTTTTCCTACAGACCCGATCTGTAGCTGGCAAATTTCTGACAAGGTTGTTTTTGTCAATTAGCAGAGTTGTAGAATTGCTTGATCTCCGTGCATTTCCCACTACTCAGAGCAGATAATGAGGGAGAGTTCAGAGTGTGGGCTGCAGAGCTCTGCGCTTTCATGCGCGCTCTCCTTCCCACCCCCAGCCTGGTGAGAAGTCCTCATGCAAAGAGAGAAGCCTTTCCAAGCGATTTACAGTGAGTGGATGGGGAATGACAGGGGTGGTAACGAGATACGGGGCTTTTACCGCTAAATCAGTGGTGTGGATCCAGCCCAAGCCAGTGCTGACCTAAAGTCATCCCTGCCTGACAGCTCATTCCTGCCGGGTGCTCACAGCCGGTCCCTTAAGGACAGGTGTGAGCCTCAGAGGGACAGGATGAGCGAGGCTGTAGAAACACTGGCTGTAGAAATACTGGCTTCCACTGGAGGGACTGTAGTGCTGGAGCAGAGCTGAGGTGAAGATTGCCAAGCTGACTGCACAGGTAACAAGTCTCTTAATAAAAATAAATGTACAGCCTTTAGGGATGTCTTCCAGCTATAGGGGTTGTGACTTTCAAAGTGCTTCCTGTTGCCATAAAATCAAGTATGTCACCTGAGTGATTAACTAATAAGTGGTGTCTAGTAGAAAGGCTATTTGCATCAAAAAGAAATATATATATATATAAAAGCAGTGAAATAAAATGGACCTAAAATGACAGCATTATGTATTCTCACTTTTGCAGCTGAGCTGACAAAGTTGTTACAGTAGATGAAATTAAGTTTTCACTTCACAGTTTTTGGAGAGATGCAGTTTAGTAGCAGATGTGAATCAGATATGCACTGCTCAGCTTCTGATGGTTGCTGGGCTTTTTGCATCTGGTCTGAAGTCCATTAGAAAAGACACTTTCCTCCAGTGATTTCAGTAATCTCAAGTCCTTCTTGAACTAAGAAAAGATACAGAGTTCTGGAGTGTTTTCTGAGTCTCTGAGATGCTCAGGCTTCTCAGCAGTTAACTCCTATAAATGAAGGTTCAGCAAATGTGCAGGAGAAGTAGCAGATATATCAAGCGTGGTATCATTGTCCAACTCTGGGATTCTTAGTGCCCTGTAAGAGTCAGTGAGAGCAGGTGTGTATCCTGAAAGGAGCTAGCCCAAAAAGCAAACGTTGACTAACAGTTTCAAGTGTGTTGAAATACTTTTGGTTTCACAGTTTTGAAATTAATGACGTACATAGCCAGAATTTTTTAAAGAAAAACTTCAGGGTGATTAGAGAGCTCAGCTTGCTAAAACTTAAATCTCATTTCCAAGCACCTTTGATTTCAGATGTTTAAAGAAAAGAAAAAAAAAAAACCCAAACAATCAATAACCCAAACCTCCCCCCCGCTCAACATGAGAGAGATGTCTAAAAATATCAGCCAGATTTTTATTCGTGAAACTTTATCTCCTGTCCTTGCTTTGCTCTGCCTTGACATTTAGCATAATTATATTTCCAGCAGGTGGAATTGTCTTCATTTTAAATAAACTGAGTGTAGTGCTGTGGTCTGCCCTAGCCAAAAGTTGGGCTCTCTTGGTTCCTGCTAACAGGCAGAGAGTTTCCTCTTGTGCCAGCACAGAAAACTGCTGGGGAAAGCCACTTTGAGATGCACAAAGGAAAAAACAGGAGTGCTGTACCTCCTTCACATCAGTAATTATGGCTTTAGCTGGAAGAGGCCTCCAACACAATCTTTCCATACTTTTGTTTTTGCTCCACAAGAGTGTATGAGAAGAGTAATGTGATATATCTCTCTTTCAGGTTTCATTTCTTGGATATTAAGTTGCAAATCTGAAGAGATGGCGTTTCTTGCAGTGAACGTGTTGATTGGGATATTTATTTACTTTAGCAGTGTAAAAGGATCTTCCCAGCCTCAAGCAAGGGTGTTCCTAACATTCAATGGTAAGAAAGAAGATAAACATTCTTAAATAAATGTTATGATTGAACATTTTCTTCTTCTCCTCAAATTCAATAACCAAGTAGAAACTGGCATTTTGATCTGTGTCCACAATTACAGTTTTTGGTTTGTTGCTGAGGCACCTGTCAGCCTAAATTTGATTCTCTTACCAGAGTCTACCTATTGCTGTAATGCATATTTAATATATAATTAATAATTAGTGGACTTTTTATTTTGGATTATTATGACTTACTAACAATTAAAGGCTTGTTTCTTATCTGTAATTTTGCTTGGAAAAAATGTAACACATTACATGTGGTGGAGAGTATTAATGATTTGAGTTGCTTTCCTTTTCAGTCAACTGAAACACTTTATATTCTGAAAATGAGGCTGCCTGAAGTTTTACCAGAATAGTTAGCCAGGCACAGAGTCCTTTGGAAAAATTCCATTCCTTGTGCACTTTGTGCTCTGTGTAGGATGTACATACCCTGTAGCAGTCACTGATGCCTTCATACTGTAACCCAGCAATGAAAATTATCATTTTCAAAAGAAAGTTTCTTTTACTTCTGAAGTGCTGAGCAGTACCTCATTGCTGCAATTGTACCAGTATTGCTTTTAATAGTAAAGTAACTTATTCTTCTATTTTTAAATGCTGATTTTAGCCACCACTTCAGAATGTGTGTGTTCTTCAGCTTACAGTGCCTGTTAAATCTGAGCTGAAACTTTCTGTCACTAATTATAGAGGCATTGAGTTTCTCCAGCCCTCTGCCTTTTCTCTGATTGTCTTTGAGGCAGGAGGGCTTGCTACTTCCTGTGCCAATACTGCTTGCATTAGGATGGCTTCTGTGGTTCATTAGTGCAGGGATGCCCTGCCACTGCCTTGGGAATACTCTGTGTGCTCTGAACATCTCTAAGAATTGCTTGAAAAATAGTCAGAGCTAGTCAGTATCTCAAACTTCTACTTGCTACAATGATCAGTAACTATGTAAACATGAGACTGAGAGACATCCAGAAGGAGGCTGTCAAGTTAGATCTTCAGCAAATACCAACCAGGGTTTGAATAATTAAATTATAGAACAAGGAGCCCTAAACTGATGAATGCAGTACTTAATAGGTGTAAAATAGCATGGCTCCACTAAAAGCAATAGTAGGAATTGAGTTCCAAGAGGGAATTCAAATGAAGAAGTAGGGATAGGAGTTTATTTTCCTTGTATATAGTCTGCAGTGGTTTTGGTGGAGATGGAGCTGTTTTGGCACAACTCAACACAGAGGCAAGTTTGGCTGTGGTTGTGTGTTACATTGTAGGTTTGCCACAGTTATGCACAACAGGCTGATTTAGATTGCCACATCTCCTTGGTGGCCTTGAAAGTAATCTGAGCTTCCCTTGATCTCTGGTATGACCATGAAGTAGGAAGTGTTCGTGTCTTGAGGCATTCAACCTTGTGAATGGGAAAGAATTATAACGAGAGGAAAATGGTTTTAAGAGAAACTCAAGAGCTTTTGTCTCATCACAGGTATCCTGCAAGGCTGAAACAGTGAAGCAGCCATAGGGCAAAAGACCCCAAACCCAGGAATTAAAAAAAAATACTGAATTAAAACCTTAGTTTCTGTGTTTCCTGGGAGGAGGTTGTCCCCCCTTCCTTTAGAAGGGGCTATGACAGCTTCATGCTGCAGGGACCCCTTTGTCTGGTCAGGTCCTTGGGCCCCAAGGGCTCTGTCCCCTGTGCCAGCCCTGGGGACACAGCCTTGCCCCACCAGTTCCTGCTGGAACCCTCCTTGGCTGCCTTGGTTAGAGAGCCTTGCAGTGCTATCTGATTTTCTTAAAACTGACTTTTTACTCTCCCTCATACTTAACAGCCAACCTTTGAAGAAGAAATTACATTTCTAGGTCCTAAATTTTTATTTGGTCTTTTGAAGTCATAAAAGTAAAAAATGAACGATGTGTTTTTACAATATGAGAAGTATGTCTGAAATAAAAAGCTAATCTTTTTGTGTAATATATAAACAGAAGTTTTATTTTTAAACCTGATTTCCAGATGGTAAGAAACAACTTTCATTATGTGAAAAGAGTTTGCAGGTTGTTGTATATACCAAGGTAATGGTCCCACCTGTAGTATGAATTTCTGTTCTATAAATCTTTGTTTGCGTACATGAGTAGAGATGTAATAGAAAAAGGTGAAACTTTGTATTGTTCTCTAGCTATTGTTCTCTAGTGTCACAACACATTTTTTCTTCATAAGCTGCTTCATAACTTCTTGTTTTTAAATCATGTAGAAATACCAAGTTATTTGGCAGTCTCCTTGCCCTGAGAAGCTGTCAGTTTTTGTGGAGAATTGTCACTCTTTTAAAGTGCATCATTTGAAAATAAAACCATAATTAGGACTCCTTATGTTTTAAATGACATTAGACAATGAAGACAAGTCATTCAAGCTTAGGATACTTATGTGATATTTTTCAGGTTCTGAATTGGATTTGGCTCAGTGTCTACAATTACATTGCATAAGTTTTGGGGGTAGAGTGTATACAGGAGGAGAAAATGAGTGATGCTTTTCAAAGCTAACCTGCTCCTTCAGGATCAAGTCAATTGAGCTTATTCACATTGCAGCATTTCTCATGGGAAAATCCAGCAAGTATCTTGACCTATTCTGTTTTTCATCAGGAAAGATAAAAATGCGAATCATTTGAATCATGGGCTGCTTTTCTCTTTGCCATCTACTTCATTAAGAATCAAATGTAATTAAAAAGTGCGCCTGGGTAATACCTCAAGAGCCTGATAATAGGGATTTTGCAATTAACTTCAATGGATGAAGGACTGCAACCCTAACTTCTGTTTCTGAAATCAAAAGCCTGGCCCCCTGTCTAATTAAAATGTAGTTCATGCCTTAGCTGAGGCTGTTAACTGTGGGTATGACGTGAGTGTGGAACTTACTGCTGTCTGCACCCCGAGTGCCTTGGAAATTGCTGTGCTGCACAGAACCCTGAGGCCTGATTCCTATTGCTTGCACCTTGTATAGACATTTACTCAGCTGGAAGGAAAGGTCAGGCTGGAGCTGAGCTAATGCTTTGCTCAGGTGAACGTGGTAAAGCAGGGACTGGGCCTTGGAGAATCAGGCAAAGGGGCTCTGGGTGTGCCTGGGGCGATTTTGTGTGACCTGATTGTCCTGTTCAAGGGGGATGGCTCACACCACTGGTACCTGTACAAGGTCTGCACTTGAAGAGCTGCTGCAGCTGAAGAAAAAAAAGATGGCCCCAGGCTTTTCCTATTCTGAAATTGCAAAGATGTGAAGCCTGTGGCGCAGCAGGTGCAGCAGTGCTGGGAATCATCTGCTGTGTTCCTGTTCAGTTTTCAGGAGTGAGGCAACCTGGGATGGGGGAAGCAAAGCACTCAACATGTCTCCCTGCACCATTAGTACACTATTTCCCCTCCTCCTGCCTCTTCTGGCTCCTTGTCCCTGGAATAGATAGTTTTTAATCTACTTAAATCACCTATCATGATTTAAAGCACCATAGTTTATTTTCTCTTCATAGCAAAAGACTTACCTTATCTGTTTATCAACAATCAAGTGTGGTGCCTGCTGTTTCTCAAGCTCCATGCATTCCTTCTTGTCACTGCATGTTCCTGAACAGATAATTGGCAGCTGTATCCTTCAGTCTTCACAGGGAAAAAGCCTTTCTGAAATCAGTGGGAGTATTACCAGAAAAAGGAAGGAGGTACTAGACTCCAGGTTAGTGTCAGACTTTGTTTCATTCCAACTCCAAGAGACTCGGAATGAAACAGACCTTTTGGGTTTTGTTGCAGCCCTAAAATGCTGAGCCATACCATTTTAACATCAAATTCTGAATTTATTGAAGCAGATAGTGATTTTTTTTAAATATTAAAGCAGATAGTGTATTTTTTAAAATACACTCAAACAAAGCTTCTTTGGGATTTAAATTTATACGGTGATACACAACAAAGTGATAATTTCACAATTTACTGGGAACATGTAATGCATTCCTGCCTTAAATGTCTGGTCTAGCAGATATTTCCCATGCAGATTCTTTTATTGTCTGCAGTGAAAATTCCATATGAGAAGTGGATCAAGGCTAATTTGCAGACAGTTTTGTTCTTCTCTTTGTTATAAAATTACTAGAACACGTAAAGGAATTTTAAGAAAGTATCAGTCAGATTCATTAATGACAATTAAAGTGCATAAAATGTCACCAGAGCAACAGCAGCACTTATTCAACTGTCAACATATTTTAAAAGATTTAATGCAACCCCTGTGGTTACCCTCAAGGAAAAATAAAGGAACTGAGAACCATTTTCCTTGCGCTCTTGAGCAACAGCAGTACAACTTGTTTTTAAACAATCCCTCATTGTAATGTTAATGTTACCACAGTTAATAAAAAGTTCATTTATTATTTGAGGGACTTTGTGCTGATGACAGTCTAGTAGGCAAAGGTTTACACTCATATAGTTGATTGGATCTTTTTTGGTGTCCGTGGAATGAAAGTTATTTACGAAATGAAGTAGAAGTAAAGCATTAAAAGAGAGGAGGAAAAAAGAAAGAGATCCATGGTTTAATTTTGTTTACATACAGAACTTACCTTGAATGTTCATATAGTTGCTTGATTTTTAGCAAATTGTTGGTAGTATTTTCTCAAAATTAACTGATTTGATGGTTTCACAGCTTCATGGATCTTAAATAATGTTAATTTATAAAGTGTTGAGCACCAACAATATGAAAACCTTTCCAATTTAATTGTCTCTCACTGGAGATCTAAAAAAACTTTATTTGAATACACCCAACTAAAAATAAAGTACTATTTTATCTTTAGTAGTGAAGATTGGTTTTTACAGTTATAGAATCACAGAATGCTAGGGGGTTGGAATGGATCTTAATAGATCTGGTTCCAACATCCCCTGACATGAGCAGGGATTCCTCCCATTAGACCAGGTTGCTTAAGGCTTTATCCATGCTGCCCTTGAACACTGCCAGGTTGGCATATCCACACTCTCCCT